CTATCTGTTAAAGTGTCTTTTCTGAAATTCCCCCTTTTTCTGTGTTCCATAATTTTAAACCCTGCTGTGACCCATGAAATTTCCTGGAATCTCATTTATAAATTTGTTTGCAGGTACAGTACATAAACTTTTTTTTCACACCTATTTTTTGTTATTAGCATTCTGTCTCCTCTATGTCTGCACCTAAAACCAACCTAAATATTTTCTTAGAAGATGGTGTTTAACAGGATGTAAGTCATATATTAGTTTTGTAAGAAAACATACATTTTCTAGTACTCCAGCCATAAAAACCACCTACCTCCAAGACCTGTTTCCAATCTCCTGCAGAACACCTTTTCCAGAATCATAAATGCACTCATCTGGAAGGAAAGACCAGGAAGGCGACGACAGCGTGTTGCCTCTTATGTGACAGGGGAGTTGGAATGCCTGGAGCTCTGTTTTGGGGTAAGGGATCAGGGAAGAACTCAGGGATCAGGAAGGAGCCTCACATTCACAGGTCGTGGTCCTCGGGAGGAATGTCATCAACCCCACTATTTGCTGAAGGGACAACACAGAGATCCAGGAGATTCCTGGGGCATACTGACAACAACTTCCTAACACAGCAATCTCCAAGGCACTCCACTGAACCTGATCCTTAGAAACATGGAAGGACTGCCTGGGAATGTGAAGATCGATGGCAGCCTGCCTTGGCTTCAGTGACAATGAGAGGGTGGAGTTCAGGAGAGGGGGAGGAACGAGGCAAAAAGCAGGATCACAATGTTGGACTTCAGGAAAGAAGTCTGTTTGTGGGACTGCTTGGGACATGGGACACAATCCTAGAAAGAAGGGTCCAAAAGAGCTGGTTCCTACTCAGGGATTATCTCCTCCAACCTCAACAATGGTTCACTGTGACAAGCAGGAAGTCAAGCAAAGGCAGCAGGAGGCCTGCATGGGTGAACAAGAAGCTCCTCACTAAACTCCAACATAAAAAGGATGTGGAAGCACCATCTTCAAAAACAAGGAGGCAGACACACCCAAGTATGCATCCTGGTGTATATGAATTTGTGTGATATATGGGTCCAATATATTTAAAAAACCCCCAAAGTAAGATGCAATATTAATCACAATAAAAATAAATTCCCTCCAAATTAAGAGGGAAGAAACAAGTCCAAAACCTCACGTTTACCTTTCCTGTCTTTATGTAACTGCACTTTAAGTCTTTTCCTCATAATTTGAAGCTGCACAATTTAAATGTGACATTTGTACAGCTACTCACATAAAAAGTTCCCCAAATATCAACAGTTATAGAAATAAATAAATGTAATAACACCTAACACAGCAATGATTTTATTTAAGTTATCATTCCCTTTAATCCCATCTGGGTGTTATTGCATGACCTAGTGAAGTTTCTTTGGATCATTATGTGCTGATCTGTCAATGTTTTCTTCAGTATAAGCTTCCTCTCTTACCTTTCTAAAACACCACTTAAAAAAGGAGCCTATCTGACCTGCTTTTTTACACCCAAAACTGTTATTTGAAGTGAAATTACACTAACCTAATTCATTTCCAATCACGACTCTCTGCAATAACAGTAATAGTGCTAAATATAATAAGCACATTAAAGTAACTTTTTCAATAAAAATTTAGAAGATTTTTCCCTAAAAAAAAACAATGGCAGAACAGAAACAAAGGTTTCCAAAAGAAAATTATTTTGCTGTTTTTAAAACAACTATAGATTTGTTAAGTTAGAAGAAGTCAGTTGACAAAAGAAAAAAAAAAGAGTTTATTTCAAAAAGAGGGATCACACCACATCAACAACATTGTTCTTTAAAAAACCAGCCTGTTTAAGTTCCAGAAAGGGATGATGATGGGAAAAAATGTGTATAACCACAACTAGAATTTTCCAGCAGCAATGCAGTATTTCTTCAAATGTGACTGTGTGGTAAATCAGAGAAACAGCAAAGTATGATCCAGTTCTTAGTGAATCATCCAAACCAGTTGTCTGCAGATAGACCAAACATCAGAAGTCTTATCAGCTTAACAATCTGTCCAAAGAATCAAGTTCCTACTCAGAGCATTAGAACCCAGTCACAGTCTTCCCTTCACAAATTAAGTGTTCCCTCACTGTTCTGCAAATAAGAGAACATCACCTACTAAGCAGGAATGTTCATTTCACTATTGATGGATTTTCACTGTAGTAAAAATTAGGGTTTAGTAGTTTTAAAATGCAGCCTTTGTTCATTTCTATAACATATTGTAATGTGGCTACAGCAAAATTTCAGACTTATAGGATTAAAATGACCACTAATTCTGCATTATAGTCAAAAACATTTATTATCTACTAGCTCTAAATGTCTTGAAAATATGTAGCACCTCACATCTAGAGGAGCTGGTGTTAAAAGTTGGGATGAACATATATATATGACCATGTGATCAAAAAAGCGACTGACACACCAACAAAGAAAATATAAAAGTCAGACACATTTGCACCTGCTTCCTTCCTGTCTAAAACAAGCAAGGAATTATAAGGTTAACATGGCAACTTTATGGTTGCAACGCTGCACACAAGTCAAAACCCCTAAAATTACACTTCCCACAGCAATTTTAACTCAGCTCCAATTCGTAAGCAAAGAAGTTAGAAATAAAGTATGTTATTTTGCCTCTTAAATACTACAAACACTGAATCAGGAATGTGGGAATCATAACTCCAATTTTACTAGCTTATATGAGTTCAAGATCTCAAAGAGACCATTGCATTAAATATCCAAATAACTCTGTAATACTAGTTAATACCAATTTGTTTATTCTATTTATGAACCCACTGCTGCCCCTTTACTGTTTCTGGTTGTTGTAGTAACATATGGAAACGACATTAAGAATGTGAAAATACTATGTGGTCTGTTCAATCCTGATTTTTTAAAAGCTAATTTTATTTAGATGAAACACAGAACTTTTTACTTTTTGGTTTTACACAAGTACAAATGTGGCAATGTTCCATTGTCATCCATTGGTTAAATGCTAACACTATACCAAAGACTTGGAATTCTGCCTCCCATGATTAGGAATAATAATTATGACTATTAGTTACAATTCTTCCAACTCAAGCCATTCTCTGATTCTATGATTCCATATCAAAAAAAACCCCTGAAAACATATTTTATTGAAGCAATTTTGTGACAACAAAACCCTGAAAACAAAATTGTCATCCTTGACTGAGGTAGAAATCAGTAGAAAAAGATGAAAAAAAAATTACTGGCTTAGTTGACAAAGATTAATGAAATCTTCTCTCAGAACTAAGCATAATAAATTCACAGAAAAGAAAAGAGTCTTATCTAAATATGAGACCTTGTTAAAAATGCAATTAACTGACTGGCTCTATTATCTCCAAAGCAGCTTTTGAGAATTCCCTTTGTCACAAGTGCTGGGAGTCAGTTAATTAGTAAATATAAAGATGAACGAAATAATGAATGTTCATGTAAAAGCCAGTTAGAACCATCTCCTGAGGCCTTTGTTTTAGTCATTATACTCAAATATTAACATAGCAATTTAATTTAAAAGGAATTAAGTCAGTGCACACCTACAGCTTTGGATGCCAAAATCAGTTCTGTTGGAAACCTTATCCTGAGAGTTCCCAAAGCCATGCCAGAGTCACCACTGCAGTCTGCTTTTAAGCTTTTCAAGTCAACAGCACTAATATCCAGCTGTTTCTACTGGGAAAGGAAAAGCCAGCAAGACAGACATCTGTTCTAGGGAGCTGCCAGATCTGCTCAGTGTGTGGCCACAGGTGCTGACCCTCGTGTTGCAGGAGCCAAAGGAGCAAGACAAAAGAAACTTCAAGCTGTACTAAAAGAAGACATCCAATATTCAGGTCTCATGAAAGCAACTTTAACAGTCAGCTCTCAGAAGCATGACTGACTTTCCTGCTCTGATTTGATTCTGTCTGTATCCAGAAGGCAACAAGAGGAAGTGCTTGAGCATTTCTACAGAGTAAATTAAAGGTTATGACTCTTTTATTGCTGTTTTTGAAAACCGTAGTACCTGACTGAAAGAGTTATGACAGACTGATACTTGTAAACCTCAGTAACATTTCCACTATTTAAGTACTTCTGCTTGAAGAGCAGAGTAAAAGCATTAAAACATCAAATCCACTATTGTTCATGATGATCAAAAACATTAGCCAGTATCAGCAGGTTTTTAAGCAAATCAGGAGGTTTTTAAGCAAACCTTACTTTTATATCATAGCTAAGCAAACATTTCTTTCTGTAAGATGTTACACATAAAAAATGAAAAATCAGTACTACATGATTTTATTACTGTAAATCCTAAGATGTACTGCCACCAGGAATTCAATACAAATTACTAGAGCAACCCAAAAGTAGAAAAAGGAAACAATGCAGTAGCAATTAAAAACCATCCCCAGCAGCAAAAAAAAAATTAAGTGAAGCTGAATTACCAACAGAAATTTCTGAAATGTTGAAATTTTGTTTGACCTGCTATAACACTGGGAGATGACTGAAAACTTCAATGGAAAATCTGTCTTGTATGTGATTTCACACATGTATTTAATGAATGATGTTAACTTTAAAAATGGAAGCAATTTTAATTGCATTGTCTAGCATCTAATGACACTTTACAGGTTTTTATTATGCAACACAAACTGGTCCATATTCAGATTAGGTGACGCATCACAAATAATTGGCTACTTCAGAACACCCTAAGTCATGCTGTTAAACACATTCATCATACAAAGTGTTTTTCTTTTCATCCATTTTATGAAATATATCATAAGAAGGATGAGTGATCCCAGTTACAATAATGTACTTAGGCAAGAGAGGTTTTAAACCTGTATTCCCAGTAATGTCAAGAATCAGACTCTGATCTTAAAACCTTAGAAATTCTTTAAATTCAAAGGGCTTTGGAGCAGGACTATAGATACTTAAAAAAATATTTGTTGGACATAAACATACTCTATACAAAACCCCCCTGAAAAACAAAGTAAGATACTACAAGAAAGAAATTACCTGGAGTGTCTTGTAATGATCTTGATGTGGTACTTTTTCTTTTTTTTCCTTCAGGAAATCCATTTCTAAAACACTATGTTTTTCCAGCAAATATTCTAATTCCTATAATGTTTGAAAAATAAAATACATGAAATTACAAACATTTGAGGATTGTGAAAACACAGATTCAGTTAATAATTCCAACTAATTTAATTTCTGAAGTGTTATGACACTTTATATTGTAATTTACACAGAGATTAAGGGTTGTGCAAGAAAACTCTCATTGCAGTTTTTAGATTGAGACAATATTTTAAAGAAGTTTAAGGCATTTATAAAAGCCAAGGCATGTCCTATGTATGAGGAATGTCCTGTGGGAAGTGGCCAAGGTCACTGGGATTGTCTGGGAGAGAAGGAGATTAAGGGGTGTCCTCCTCGCTCTCCACAGCTTCCTGAGGAGAGGAAGTGGAGAGGGAGGTGCTGGTCTCTTCTCCCTGGTATCCAGTGACAGGATGTATGGGAATGGCTCAAAGTGGCATCAGGTGAGTTTTAGACTGAACACTGTGAAGCATTTCTTTACCAACAGGCAGCCAAGCACTGGAACAGGGTTCCAGAGATGTGGTCAATGCCCCAAACCTGTAAATGTTTCAGAGGCATTTGGACAATGCCCTCAATAACTTTTGGTCAGCCCTGAAGGGCACAGGCAGCTGGACCTGTTGTTATAGATCCCTTCCCATTGCAACTATTCTATTCTAGTCCAATTATTTCCACATTTTTAGTATCTTGCTCTGTCTTTCTACACTTCAAAAACAGCATATTAAATGTACTGTTAGTAAATGTTTTCACTAAAAAGGCAGAAATCCTATGTAGATCTCTATCTACATCTCCAAAATTAATAAAATCTTAAAATATCCTGGTATCTTGCAGAGAGCCAGTCTGGAAGCCTGCCCAACATGAACCAAGAGAGAGGAAGGAGAATAACACTGCTGTCAATAAACTTCAAAATTGTTCACTATTTTTCCTTAATGCAGCCGTTGTTCCCACTAAACTCATTCCTATTATACATAAGTTGTTGGCACCCTTTCAATTGCTCCAGAACAACTTCTTGAAGCTGTGCAGGAAGCCACTATAGAAACAAACGACCTGCCAGGTCACAGCAAAGCTATTCAAACAAAGGCACAACTGAGAGGGTCATAAGTAGGACACAAAGAGCAGGTCTGCTTAGTTCAGCCCTGCTTTGGGACAAAATCATAAAAACAGTTCAAGAGATTATAAGTCTCTGATTCCACTGTAGAGATAGAAACAGATTATGGATTACCTCTTCAATTCAGAGTTTAGCTCTCAACCTATCTCCTCTTACAGTCTGTATTCATCCTTCCCTCCCAACTTCCCTCTATACACTTAATTCCCAGCAAAACCAGCCCATTGCAGTCCTCCTCATCTTTGGCTCCAGTTCCTCAACCTCACTGTCGTTTCCAACAAGCTGTTTCCTCCTTCCCCAGCAAACCTTGAGAGCTATCAAGAAACAGTATTAAGAATGGCAGAAACTAAACTCACTCTCCCATGCCTCAGTGACCTTTTGCCAACTCAGATGTGTCAGACATAACACTGCTTGGTGCTCTTATTATATTCCTGTTGGAAGGAATATGAAGAATTTAGCTACCAGAGCTCCCAGAAAAAAAAAAAACAAACAAACCAAAACCACATGGCTCCATGCTAAGAACACTTGTCCGTTTTTTTTTTCTTTTATTTTTTTATCCCTCAAACAAAAAAAAATAAAATCTTGAAAATTTAGAAAAATTTAGCCTAAAATAGACACCAGACATGAAAAAAAGGAAGTCCTATGTTCAGCTCTGGCCAGTCTCTGGAGCGTGTCCAGGGACAGGCAATGGAGCTGGGGAAGGGTCTGGAGCACAAGTCAGCTGTGAGGAGCAGCTGAGGGAGCTGGGGGGACTCAGCCTGGAGAAAAGGAGGCTCAGGGGGGACCTTCTCACTCTCTGCAACTCCCTGACAGGAGGCTGGGGGTCGGGCTCTGCTCCCAGGGAACAAGTGACAGGATAAGAGGAAATGGCCTCAAGCTGTGCCAGGGGAGGTTCAGGTTGGACATTAAGAAGAATTTCCTCACAGAAAGGGTGGTCATGCATTGGAAGGGGCTGCCCAGGGGGGTGATGGCATCACCATCCCTGGAGTTGGTAAAGGAACAACTGGCACTCAGTGCTCTGGTCTAGTTGACAAGGTGGTGTTTGGTTAAAGGTTGGACTCGATGATCTTGGAGGTCTTTTCCAACTTTAATAATTCTATGATTACATGAGTCTAAATTGGGTCAATTTCTCTGGATTTTGGCTAATTTCTACCAAAAAATGAATTTCAAATCTCTGCCAGCTCCAACCATATTTTAATCCCATACAAATGCCAACTGTTCTAATAAAAAAAAAAACTATTCACACCTTTTTAATTTTCAATTTTTCTTCTTCAGCAGTGCAAAGCTTGATTTCTAGGTTTGCAACAGCTTGTTGAAGGCAGCTCTTCGCTTCATTTGTTCTCTGTGTCTCAGCATCAATCAAAGCAGTGGTTGATGTAACTAAAGTCTTGCCCTCAATTACATTTGAAGAGGCGACTGGAATATCTGCTTGAATCTAATCCACAGGAGAAAAGTGAGTAATTTCAGTACATCAGGTTTACAGGGAAACAAACTCTCCTTGGATAAGTCACTCCATGCTTTCACCCAATGCAGGCTGCAAACAGCAGTCACAGAAAGGGAATAAAAGGTTTTTTTAATCTCATCTTGAGGATAGATTAACAAAATAAGAGTAATTGGGAGATGTTTACAACATTTAGTTAATGCTATTTCAGTAAAGCGTAGAAGCACAAGAACTGAAATAGAGGTTTCTAGAATCCACAATGTAAACCAGATGAAACACTGATAATAAGCCTATATTTTCAGAAAAGCACAAAATAAATTAGGTGAGGTTCAAAATACTTTGTGGTATAATTAAAAAAACCCAGTGCTTTTTATTTTCCCTCTTAAAAAAAAATAATAAAAAGGAGGGGGCAAAAACTTGTTTATTTTGCAGCCAAGGAACTTCAAAGGAAAAAGTTGGTAAATTAATTCAGCTACCACTTTTTCAACAATTTGAAAGCCAAACACACTTGAGGTTTGGGTAAGGGTGGTAAAAGGAACATCTCAATGTGTTTATTAAGGAGAGGTTTGATTGATCTGATTTAATCCACTTCCCTAACACCTTTTATCCCACTCAGATAATGTATTGACTTTTCAATAAATTACTATCTCTCAAATAATTCAAAGAAAGTAACAAACAAAAGCAGCTGAGATCTTGACTGCACAGGAACACATAAGAAACTGCAGTTTGTGCTCTGAATTCTCCTTGGCAAAGAGAAGCCAAATGTGCTAATTCTATTTCCGAGTCCTAAAGATTAGAGTTTGGCATCGCCAAAAATTGTGAGCGTAGAACCTAAAATGGTGAAGCTTTTTTATTACATGAAACCTCAAGAGTCCCTGGAGATACAGATATAAAAGAATACAGTTCTCCTAACATTCCCCTCGAACAGGTATATTTTATTATAATTTTATGCCCACCGTTTTCCTTCTTGTTTAATCCTAAGTGCAAAGTCTGATCTCTAAAATAATGTTAAAGGACATGCTCTGAACTCCTTTTCTCCCTTTAGTAAAACTTATTAATATATTTTTTAGTCTGTACTACTTCCTGCACTAAAGAGAGACTTTATGGAACCATGGGTATGTCAGTAGCTGAACAGAACAAGACAAGAAAAACTGAAACATGGCCTACAACTAGAATTTATACAAATACATAGTCAGAAGTAAAAAAGTGTATTTCTTATTTTTCATTAAGATTACCCAAGTAAGTTAATTTTTAGTTTTAAAAAATAAATCTTAGTATTCTGGAATATCCCAAGTGCTCTTTCCAGAGAACACAAAAGCTAAAATTGCTAGCCAAGAGAGGATGCACTGTTAGCCAAAATCAAAAAGGGTAGGACTTGGACCTGTGGTGGCTAAAGGAAAGCATGTCTTGGTCATTCTACCAGTAATAGAAATTTACTGATCCAAACTCTGTCAGAGAGGCAGAAGAAGAGCCTTCAACACAGAAAATTACTGTGGTTGGTATCAGTCAAAAAAAATAAAATAAACACTCCTCCCTCTCAAGAAAAAAATCCACAACTTTTGGATTTCTAAGAAAATTTCTTTGACATCATTTGCATCTGGGCACATCTCTTTGCTTTTTATAGGCTTTCCTCAGAACATTAGGCTGGGAACAAATACAAAACAGTAACTAATTCATTCCTAAGACTGGACGATTGGAGCTGTACTAGCCAGTCTTTCTGGAAATGTAAACATACAGATGCTCCTCAAAGGAAAAAAAAAAAAAAGACTCAGTTTAAGCAAAACAAGTATTTTGTACAAGTTCTCTGTATAGTTCTAAAGAAATGCTTATAGATGGTCAGACAATGGAAATCTGACTTAACGGTGAAATTGAGTTTTCACCATGAGTAGCCCTAGACTTGATGAGACTACTTGAAGGATAAGAAACAAAGGAAGGTTTGCAAATTAGCCCAAAGTACTGATTAGTTCACAATGAGGCAAAAGTACTTTCTAATTCAAGTATGTACTACTATACATCCTGAAACAAGGAAGTTTATAATCAATAAACTTGTTCAAATAGGTGTCACTGCAATCAGTGGCAATGAAAGATTCACTTGAGAGGGTAAATCTATATAATTCTCATCTGCAGCAATCCAGCATTCCTCTGCTAATCTCCAGGCAAAACTTTTTTTTTCCCTTCCATGCTCATCTAATAGTTTAGTCAAAAGCTAAAACCTTTACCCCTAAAAAAGAAATAAAGATAATTTTTCAGCAGTAGTGCAGCCACAAAGAGAGATTAAGATTGCACAACTAGGATAATGTCAGATCACACAAAAAAATATTAAAAAAACCAACTTTAAAAGTAATGGGGGAAAAATAAATTAAAATAAAATAAAAATAAATTTAATTATAAGTAAAGATTAAATGTTAATTCTCTAATCCTAAAATCACAAGAAAATATACAAGTATAGCATATATGTACAGCTATAATCTTTACAGTTTTAACAGGAACAAACTTTTTTGAAAGAACCTTCCTGGTGTTGTTTCCTACATGCATGCCTAGCACTATCAGCATGCCTGTAAGTTTTAATAACTCTAACACACTTGTCTCTCTTACAGTTCATACCAAAGTACAGTGCAGTGTCTCCCAGTTGTAGGTCTTATAAACAATTTTAAAATTATTTTACTTCAAAGTCTTCGTCACAGAAATCCAAGGAGCTTTTGCCCTTAGAAGGCATTTCAACCTAAATGTGCACAGAAAAGATACAATGCTAACATATTAAATACGTGAGTTCCCATACTGAAGCTCAAAAGTTGTGGGTTTACCTGTTCTTCAAGAACAGCTGGATTTATCACACTGTTGGCTGTTTGAACAGCTGTTGCCACATTATCACTTGATAAAATGAATGAGTCAGAAGGAGCCAGGCAGGAAGAAGGCACAGAGTGCTCCAGAAGAACATCAGGAGATCTGTGGACTTCAGGTACTAGAAATAGAAAGCACACACAATATGAAGAAGCACTCAAAAATTAACTGTTTCTGGAGTCTGTGCAACAAGTGTAGTCATACTAATGTAATGTTATGTACCTCATATAATCTAACTGCACTGAAGAATAATTCCATACAAAGTGCCTGTGGTTTTGAGTAGTATCAACTTGAGGACATTCAAAATCGTAGTCACCCTAAATTTAGACTTGTAATTTACACAGAGGTTTTAGAAGACAACTGCTATCAAAAGGATCCATTTCAACTTTGTTTCTTTCAATTCACACAACCTTTCAGCTTCCGCATGATCTTTAATCAGTCTAAGTCAAGTGTAAAAACCATGCTTACAGTTTCCTAAGTTTCATAAATTCTGAAGTTAAAAAATCCTCAACTGTCTTAGAAAACACAAACAAACCAAGACACACTTAAAAAAAACTTACCAAGCAGTTTTATATGTTATATGATATAAAAAGATAACGAGGTAAATAACTCTCTAGCTAATAAAACTTCAGTGGAATTAATACTGGACTGAGAGCTCTTCCATACCAATTTCCAGTTATGCCATAAAAATCCTGAACAGTGGATCATCATTATCAACCCAGCACAACAGAAACTTGAGCGCTCTTATGAAGGACATAAACTAAATAGACTAAATAAACAGAAAGGAGATGAGAAAGCTTGGCATACATTTTTAATTTAACAGCAAAGTCCTGCAAACTTTGATATGTTCAGCTACAGGTGTGCCTTTGCAGAAGGCAAAAAAAGTATATGCAATTGTTTTAGGAAAAGCAGCTCACATCATCAATACAACTCTGGTAAAATGTAGAAGATGCCACTAGCCCGGACAAGGCTCAACCTCCTCATATCACTGTTGAATGCTGCACAAGTACACAGCACAAACATTGGCCTAAAGGACAATTCAAAAGGACACATCAATCTGTGGATCCAGTCCCATCTTCTTTACTCTCCAATTCTAGGATTCAGGTATAACATAGAGGAACATGCAAACCTCGCCTACTAAAAAGAAAGAAAATGGACTGTGAGGCAGAAAAATATGAGTATGCTAATTGCAGTGATAGTAGATTGGGACATATGGCCAAAAAAAAAAAAGGAAACACCAAAAAAAAACCCCAAAAAATCACAGTGCAGCAGAAAATGGAAACTTGGCTGAAAGGCCTAGAGGACAGTACAGCAAACAGAAGAGGAACCAATTTCAGTAACCAGGACCAAAAACCAGATCTGGGACACAACTGCACCTTTAACACAAAACTCTTCCTCAGAATTGGAAATGGGACTTTTTCAGCTTCCTTTATGCACTATATCAGTAAAACTCCCCTCCCAATCCAAATGTCTGCTTTTAAAGGCAGCTTCTCATAACAATTACCTACTCAGTTAGTTCAGGTGGCAGTGAAGTGACATAGATAATCTTTTTGTTTCTAAACAAACATTAAAGTCTCTGCTTTATGCTATCATTTAATACCCCGAATCTCAATTTTAAATCAATCCCCATCTGATGGAAAAACAACTAAAATAATGTACCAGGCAATTTCTCACTGAGCAGGCAAGCGATTCTCTTACTAAAACTGTCAACTCACATGGAAATCTGACATGACACTGTTCCTTTGGATGTCAGTGCTCACCCTTTAGTGAGGATCACCATAGCTCAGGCATAGTTCACATATAAATAATTTATCACAAAAGTGAAAACAGAAACTGAGACTGGGTACATATGAAAAATGGAGACTCACTGAAATTAAAACTTTTGGTATTCACATATTTTCGGGTATCCAATACTAGACATAAGACTCCATTTTTCAGGTAATAATCTGGAATCTTCTACAATCAAATTGAGCTTTCAGGGATTCTAGTTATAGTAATGAATGCTTGGCAACTTGACGGGAAAAAAAAGAAACAAAATCTCCACCTCTTAAGTTGTCAAAATGAAGCCTAGGAAATGAGGAGTAACAAGTGGTGACCACCTCTGAACATCGGGGTTTAAAATTTTAAACTAAATACATGACCTTGCAGAAAACAAGAAAAGGTGGCAACTCTCCATTGTATCAATCAAACATCTTTTTTACAAATCCTTTTCATTTTTCAGCAATGTTAAATATTCGTAAATTAGACATTCCTAGAATTACACGTGCTACGGCTGTAATTCAAGCTCTCTTAATTCATTCCTCTTGTGTATATACTGGTGAATTGCATTAGCATTTTAGTACAGCTCAAAATTCGCTTATAGAGACGACCCCTAAGTCATTCCTGCTCACCACACCTTAGTTACCAAAATGGAACAGTTTCACAACCCCTGAAACAAAAACTTGCCTCTGATGAAACTACCTGATTGACTCCCAACAGCTACTGGGAGCTCAAGCCCACAGGACCAGGCTAACACCACTCTGAAACAACACTCCTGAAGCACATCCAACATGGTTATTGGGTTTTCAGAACCACTTAAAGGATTCTCTCCTCTTCAGTGCTGCTCCACTGCTGTGACACACAGTCATTCTGATCATAACAACAAAATACTCTTACACAGTACCCTGCCCTGGTGTGATATATCTCCTCCAACTTCTTCAGTAAGCAAGTCAAAGTCTGATAGTCCTGAGGAAATTCCAAATAAACTTATTGTTCATTGGTCAAACTGGCCTTAGAAATAATCTCTGATTTCTGCCTGCACACTGAGAAATACTGCCACAGGCTTCAGTGCTTTGGTTTACAACTTAGAAACATCAGATATGTAGGAAAGTCATGAGATGAGTAATGTACTCCTCTTCCAGAGAGCTCACAACATCTTGTGTGTATATAACGGCATCACACCTCGAATTTATCAAAATCATCTCAATAGCACCATAATACATTTGAATTTTTCAGCAAACCTTACCGAGAAATTTCTGGGGTAAGACAAGAACATCTCATATATAAATAGCTTGCGCAGACAATTCAGTTATTTCTGTTACTAAAAACATTAATTTACAAGTCAATGCCTAAGAAGCATTTCGACCAAGACTATTAAAATCTTGCCTCTTGCAATAAATTAATTTATTCACAGCAACATTTGCATGAAAAAGTCATCTAAAGATTTTGCAGTAATAAAATATTCTGAATAAAAGTGTTTTTCTTTTAATTTTGACAAACTTAAAATACCTTGGTATAACTTACCTTAAGACTTCTCTGTCACTTACAATCATACAAAAAACTTCTGTGTTAGTACAAATAATTTGAATTCTACACACCTTATAAGATTTAAAATAGACTTCATGAGGCAGACACTGCACAGTTATATTGGATTTAATTTACTAAGCACATCCAAATATGCTATTGAATTTAAGAAGTAATAATAGTCAAAATGACAACATGAATAATAAAGCTATTTGAAAAAATATAGTTTCATCATTATGTTTTCCTTTATTTCAATGACACATAAAGGCAATTATTCTGTAATGGATGAAAGCCAGTAGTGCCAGAAATAAATCAGTAAAAACATTCTAAGAACATGACTTATGGAGAACTCATATTGAGAAAAATTCGTGCCTTACTTTGTTTAATTTATTCTGCATAATAATGCAATAGCAGGTACAAATCATTAGTTCCTGAACAAATAATAAACTGTGTTGGTTTTCACCCTAATGCTGCTAAAATGATGTTTCTCTTTGTGAAAACAGCAAAATCTAGACCACAACAAAATCAACTGCCAATCAGTAACATCTCCTCAATCTTCTAGTTCTACTGATACTGTACATCAATGAACTTACATTAATTTCTTAAAATTCATATGGGCCACAGGCATTTGTATAAATTAATACAAGTAGCTCCATAATGTTTCTACTTCTTCTTGAGATAAAGGTTATGTAATATATTTTTTAACTTTATAAACTGCTTAAGTAAAAAAGACGATTCTCATCCATCCCTCCTTCCCCAAAGAACGTAGAAGACTCTATCATAGTCCTATTTTCAAGTTTACTTTTTGGGGTTTTTTTCCACAATTTGCAACAGATCTTCCACACACCAAAGTAAAGGATATCCTTTGAATAAAGAAGATCTGTTTCTTTTCAGCTGGATAAACTGTACTTCTCTTTCATTCCTCAAGAAAACTTTACTTTGAGAAGTGCAGCTGCCCAAAATAATTACTCAGGAACATTCTCATGCTCAACTTTTCACTTCTGGCTATTCTTTTATTGTGTATATACACCCTTCTGGGCACTAGTTTTTACAGTGAATACATAAGAACAGCAATACAATATTAAGATTTTTTTACAGTGATTTTATCAATACCTGTAGGAAATGCTGCCCAAGCAATAGCAGGGGATGTGGTCTGCTTTTCACCATTTCCAAACTCATAACTCTCTGCTGCCTAGGAACAAGAAGAAATGATTAGAAAAATTTTACAAAACATTTACAATCATTTACAATCAATTTCCATATAAATAGTTAAAAATAAGCTTTTTTTCCAAATAAAGTAATTCAAATAACATACCTCAAATCCTCCAAAGTCATCATCATCCATCTTTCAACTGGTACTAGAATATAGAAGAAATGTTGATTTAAAAAGAGAAAAAAAAAACCATTATGTTGCTATATTGCCTTTACTTGTAAAATAGCAATAAAAGCTTTGCAAAACCAAAGGTATGGTGTTAGTTTTAAAGGACAGACTTGGGTAAAGCAAGTCAGTGTGATCAAACCCTAAAAGCCCATCAGTATGAAGCAATAGAGGGTTCCACACAGCAGGAAAGTGGGTATATTTCACTGGCCAGCCTTGTAAGAGAGATGTGCTGATTTTATGATCAACCAGCAGCCAAAAGACAAAATGATTTATCTATTTGTACTTCAGTTACATGACAGATGAAAAAAGACCTTCACTTGGATCCAACTGCTACCTTGCTCATCTATATGCTTTGCATAACCACCTCATCATCCACTCATTTAGAAGTGCATACAGTCCTTCACCCAAGTCCTCATCTCCACACATTACCCAAAATCTTCATAATTTACAAGTCCTACAACACACCAAGGGACCTAAATAAGAACTTTTTCACACAGAGGATGCAAGGGCTAGAACTGGAAGATCTCAGTTAAGAAGTTTTTTTTTTTAAATGATCAAGTTAAATGCAAAACAATGGGTATTTTATGATAGAATTCGACTGTCTTCAAGGGTAAACATAAGCACTGCCCACTGTCAAACATCTTTTGAAAGCAAAAATGAAGGAAAAGCTTTCTAATATAAGAAAATAGAAAGATGGTCCTTTAAAAGCTATATCTATTGATCTCAAGTACAGCAGTCAAGTTCCCAGGACCTCAACAAATGGTACTAAAATCAGCAAATATTCTAGTTTGGATATATATTAAAAAAAAAATGTCTAGGAAGTAGGATTCTGACCACCAGATTCCAAAATCAAGGGTTATCTTCATTCATGATGAAGACAATCCGATTTAATGCAAATATGATCTATCATGTATCTTGTATAATTTTGTGTTTCTGATTTAAAATATAAAAATATTTTCCATTGTGAAGTTGCTTTTCCAAATCAGCATTGTGATTAAATCCAAAAAGATTTCCTGCCTTTCCCATCTCTTCTTAGCTGTCTGGCAACATCAGAACAAACTGCAACTTGGAAAAAGACTGTGGTGAATTTCTGGAAATTCTTCTGCTACCACAGAGGTCCTTCCCTAGGTTTCATGGAGGGTCTGATTTAGATTTTACAAACTGATCAGCATTTTTGACTTGTAGCCCTGAATTCTGTGGCATTTTGATATATTTATAGTCAAATTGCAGTTCCTTTTACAAAAATGTGGGCTAAGTTACTCAGCTAATGAAAGTAACTCAAGATATACAAAGCTTTTCAAAGAAAGGTATTATATATTTAACTATACACTTATATATATATATATAAAATTCTGATATGTGAATGAAGGATGATCCAAAAAACCTTTATGGTCTTTACAGAATGTTAAAATGTTTATAAAACTAATTGACTTCAGTTAAAGCAGACTATAGGTTGCATAAACTTTTATTACTAAGAAAACACATGCTCAGAAACAGAAGAATTCAAAGGATCTGGAGGAAATCTCCAAATGGATGTATTAGAATGCCAGAAGGGGACACTTTCAGTTCACATCCACTGCTGAAATGAACTACCAAGACTGATTTCAATTCAAACATCTTCCAAAGCTTAACTAATTAATTCCCGAGTTCTCACTGATGAACTTAGAAGGCTTCGGGGTGACCCAACTGTGGCCTTCCAGGACCTGAAGGGAGCCCACAAGAAACATGGAGAGAGACTATTTCCAAGGGCCTGGAGTGACAGGACGAGGGGGAATGGCTTCAAACTGACAGAGAGAAGGTTTAGATTGGATATTAGGAAGAAATTCTTCTCTGTGGGGGTGGTAAGGCCCTGGCACAGGTTGCCCAGAGAAGCTGTGGCTGCCCCATCCCTGGAAGTGTCCAAGGCCAGGTTGGATGGGGCTCTGAGCAACCTGGGACAGTGGAAGGTGTCCCTGCCCATGGCAAGGAGTTGAAACTAGATGATCTTTCAGGTCACTTCCAACCCAATCCATTCTACGATTCTATGAAAAATCATCACTATCACTGTGTTAGCAGACAGATTTGGTCAAATTAAAGAAAAGTATTGTTCAATACTTACATGTGGTATAAAAGTTAAGAATCTTTTTAGGGACTAACAAGGAATTTTTGGCTTTGTGTTGGTTGAATTTTGTGCTGGTAAATTTTTCAAGAGAGAAAGAAGGTAGTTGGGTATTTTTCCCATCAATGTTAAGGTTAATTGGTCAAACATTCATGCACTCCATTAACATTCAGAACTTTAACATATAACTCAAAAAAATAGCACTTGGGTACACAAATGATAGTGATGGAAGCTGTACAAACAGAACATGACTGCTGAAGCAGACAGCAATGCACAAGCTGAGAATGTCAATGTATTCATGCCACCTACCACTAAATACCACCCAAACCAGGCTGGTGATTTATATAATTACTGCAAAACACAGTGATCAAGTAGCAATCAGAGCAGTCAGGTGGAGAAAGTGAGCCTTTAGAAAGGCAAACAGGTACTTTATCTATACACTATGTATCACATCAACAGGTCTTACAGGCTCCACACAAAGTTCCTTCAAAGCACATTTTCTCCACAATGCGCAGGAGACATTATCCCCATCATCTCAGAACTGGTTATGTCTCAACCAGAGAAAATACATTCAGCACTGTGTTTTAAAAACACAAACTGGAGCAAGTTTACAGGAGTACAACAGGAATCAAAGCAATTTTGGAAAGGTATGCTAAGATAGAGAGGCTTCAAAAAATTTTTAGAAGGAAAAAATATAAAATATGAAAACTTATGTTCTAAGAAGTGATTAACTATTTTGATTTTTTTTCAAATACAACACTGACATAAGGCAACAAAGGACAGCAAGCCCTGTAAGCAAACTATATGTTAAATACTTGTGAGGATTTCCATTTCCTCTACAAGAAAATTTAGAAGAACCTGTGTATAAATAAAACAGAACTTTTGATAGAGAAAAAGGATGTAGGGCAGAAGAAAAACTGGAGAACAACCTGTTACTGAATCCATCATCTTTTTTATTGCATTTCAAACAAAGTTTTCATAAGTCTGGTAACAATCCCAAGGCTATTTTGACATCAGATTACCTTACTCCACAAATTTTAAACACAGACTTTTCGTGGCTGTAACAACATGAATAATTTATTAATTATTCCACCTATCACTTAAATGGAACAAAAGAGAAACAGGTTCCAATCAAGTCTCTGTAGTATCAATGGTGTTTTCACACCTAACTGTTAATCCTCCAATTTCCAGTTCTTCAGAAATCCCACAGGAATTCTAGACTAAGGGATCCTCAAGCAGTTAGGTTATAAATGCTATACATACACAAATAGCAAACATTAATTCATGTACACACCCCTCTGATTTCAAAGACAAAGCTCAGTTTCTACTCTACCAAAATGAAATCTTGATTTGAAATCTAAAAATACTAGAATCTGGCAAAGTTAGCAAGTATCACAAATATGCAGGCAGCAGATTAGGATAGAATGCATAGATTAAATCCTGAGGGATGTTAATATAAGGCATTTCAAAAACTCAAAGGTTGACGTGTTCTCTCCATAGAGCGTTAGCGCAAGAGTTCTTACTAGAAGATGTCTTTCCAAAATTATGATACCTTCTTGCATAAAAAGGGTGCCTTCTGCGAGGAGAAGGGAAAAGGGCCACACCAATGTTAAAAGAACTGTTTTGAAAAAAAAATTGAATCAAGCCTATTTTCAAATGGGATGCTTTCAGAGCCCTCAAAAGCACATGTGCATTTAGACCTAAAAAATATTTGAATAATTAATTTTAAATTTAACATGATAAATTTAACAATCCTGAAAATACAACCAAATACATAATTTCTCTCTTCTACCCCTTATTCTCATGATGGAAATGCATTTCTGATATGAATAAATAACAGAACTAGCCTAACACCCCACTGCAACAATTTTAGGAGCAAGTTCTTTTAATCAATCGTCTATTCCAAAATGGGTAATCAGACTTTTCTTTCCTCACAAACTTGGAACATTATTTGTGGCACCGGAATAGGAAAGAATACATTAAGTGCTGACAATCTTCAGGATTTAAAAAATAACAGAAGAAGACAAAACAACCCACACAGTCTTACCATGACTAAATGTGGTCTCTTGAAATATGCCTGATACTGGAATTAAGTAACTGTAAAATTGGGCAACAAGAAGTCAACCTCAAAATTACAGAGTCAGAAATTCTGGTTGGAAAAGGCACAGTAGGTCATCCAGCCCAGGTCATTTTCAAAACATTACAGTTCTCAGACAGTTGTGTCCAAAAACACTCGAGATCTCCAGTCACACTCTGTGAAAAGGAGGAAATTTTCCATGGATAATGACTAGGCAGGACACTGCATTTTGCATAGATTTTATCAACGAGTTTGTATTCACACAGTGCAACGATAATCTATACCAAAATTCAGACCAACAGGTCATCCAACCAAAGCTGCTGCCCAAAGCAGGGTCAACACCACATTCAAATGAGGTTGCTCAAGACTTCCCTCTGCATGGCTGGTAAGGCTGCATGATGAATGGATTCAGATAGCTGGGCATATTTGGGAAGCCTGCAAGCTTTTCTATGCAAAATGCAGTCACTAAAGCCTGACCAGTAGCTTAACACAGATCATGAGATGTAAAAGGCACACCAAAATCATATTTTTATATGCAGGAAGATCAAGAGCAATTCACAAGGAATAAGACAGAAAAATGTAAGCTGGGGAAAAAAAAGCCCCTCTTCCCCATTCCAACTGTTAAGGGGAGATGGGATGTTGTAATCCCACGAGAAATCCCAGTATTCTCTATATCCAAAAGGTAAAAGTGGCGGACAGACCAAATGTTGAATTAAGTAGAATTCTTCATTCATGTCTACCTCTGGTTAGTGAGAAATCAAATTAATCAAGTCCTGATCTTCTATTTGATAATCAAGTCTAA